CATTCAATTCCTATTATTTGTTATTTATAACAACCCTTCAACTCCCCCATAACTTACCACTAACTTTTCAAATATATTTAAAATGTTTATAATTATTTAGCTAACTTTTCAATTGATAGAATAAAAAAATTGAAAAAGACAAAATTTATAATTTTGTGTATCACACGGGACATGCTGCTAGTATCCTTATATTATTTGGTGAATTAGTATCGAGATATTGTCATTCAATTATAAAATACAATCACACAATTCTTAATTTTATTTTAATTTCTCTTTGGTCTCTATGCTTGGAATTTGATTAAAAAAATACTATTTTTACTTCCGTAAAAATACTATTAATAAAAGTTAATTTAACTTTGATTGAACAAGATAAAAAAAAATTGGCATATGAATTGATGTTTTAAGATCGGAATTTGGAGATAATTTTGATTGTTAGGTGGAAAATATGTTATTTTTCCAAAAAAAAAAAATATGTGCTACACCAAATGTATGGAAATGATTAATAAGCTAACATACCAAAAATCGTCTAAGTAATAGATTGTTGGCATGATATCTTTATCTACTGCTAGTTATTTTGCAAGTGCAAATGCACATAAACTATTTTGAGTTTTAAATATATATTTTATTTTCTTAACAATTATAAAAAATTTAACTCAATCATAACACAAAGCATTTCACTTTAACATTAAAAATTCAATAAACTCGAATCATTTATATAAGTATAACATTAGAAATAGAACAAATTCGGGTCCTATTACATTAAAAATATTGACTATTAACATTTAAAAAACAACAAATTCGAGTAATTCATATTTCATTTACATATCGAATAATCATGCAAACAATGCAAGACACCAAACAAGCCCAATCTTAGGACCAAACAACACACGCAAAACAAAAAAAAGAATAATGAAAAATCTATTCTTTTAACCAGAAGAAAAAGAAACAAATTTTAATTGAAAATTAGAACAACCCAGTAATATTAACATCATTTGCTTCTCTTATTAGCTTCACTTTACAAAACAACCCAAACAAGAGTGTGTATCTCAACATTCTTGTTAATGATACAAAATTCTTTAATATGAAAACAAAGTCAACCACCGCACCATTCCCTTTTGAATTTCCCAGTGTCAATAAATACCAATAATTTTGAAACTCGAAGTAAACAAAAAAATGTCCAAAAAACTTTCTTAACAAGTAAAATAACCAGAAAATTCACATTAAGGTAAAGAATGCATGGTTTATCAGAATGTCTATTACATGAGTTTTCTCTATCAATCAAAATCAAGTCAAAAAAGTCACAATGCCCTTAGTTTTCTAAACAAATCACAAAAACAAGTAAATGGCAAAATTGAAGGGCTGAAGTAAGATATCATGATAGCTGGTGGAAAATAGAGGCTAGGCTACTAGAATCGGTTGCTTCGTGGCTTGCTGGACATTGTCTTTAAAGAAAGATGAATCTTATAAAAGTTTCAAGACCTTGGGTAGTGGAATATATAATCTAGAAGTCTAAAACCAAAAATTAAATAAACTATTATTTGATTAAAACTATTTATTTTAGAAGTCTAAGAGTTAGAAGCTAAATTTATTCTAGAAGTCTAAAAGTTAGAACTGAATGAAAAATATGAACATAGAGTTTAATTTTTGGTGGAGGTGGAGTCATGGAGAATCGGATGAGTCTTCTTGACTATAGGTATTTTAATGTAGAATAGAAGATAGGAATGAAGGAAAGTAACACTAATTTGACTTTATATATTTGTTTGAGAATAATGATGGTAATTTTTTTTGGTATAATAACATTTTAGAAAGTAGTATAGATAGATAGATATATATATTGGTAATCATTGAATTTGTAGGTTTCTTAAGGGTACAAGTCAATTGTTTATGATTTAAGTCATAAATGTCTTCATATATTGTTTTAAAGGCAAAATAGAAATTCAAAAGTTTTTTACATTTATATCAAATTATTAGTGTGAGGTATAATTGTCATTATAATTTTGTTTAAGGGCAAAAGAGAAAATCAAAAAAATTTCATCTACTATAATTTTATTAGTAGTATAGATTATGATTTACAACCAAATGGAATTTGATTGTGAGGTTGCGATCCATTTAAGTGTACTTGCAACTTTAGTAGGAAAACCAACAAATGAGAAGGAAAAGAAATGTGAAAGGAAAGAGATAAGAAAGTCGATTATGCATTACATTATTACAAATTATTCACTTTGACTACTTATGGCACCATTTTATAAAAGGCATCTTTAAGCGGAACACTTGACACACCTAGAGAGGGGATGAATAAACATTATAATTATAGTGAGCGGATTTTATCGCTCCCATTCTTTTTTTATTTTTCTTTTCCTTTTATTATGTTCTTATTCACCTCCGTGAATTATTATATGACAAATGCACTTTAGTAGATGAGGAGTTGTGGAATAGTTTTTCTCTCCTTTTCTAAACTTTGTATGTTCAACCATTGGCATTGAAATGGCTTAAGGTCAAAAACTTATGTTGGATGCAATCTTTTATTATAAATTCCCATTNTTGTGGCTTAAGGTCAAAAACTTATGTTGGATGCAATCTTTTATTATAAATTCCCATTTCAAATAGCATGACTTGGTACCTCTTTTTTGACCACGGAATTAAATCTCTATGATTTTTTCATGGGTAAATTTCACTCTTTCCCTGAATTTAAGTTATATTTAACTGACACCCTTTAATTTTTAAAATATCACCGCATACTCCTATAAGTTTTTATTCGTTAATAGAATACGTTATTTTACTAAATTCTCTTATTAGAACTCTCGTTTTACTTAATTATCCTTACTCAAATTAAATTTATTTTTTATGACCAAGGTTAAATTTAATAATTTATAATAGAATAAATGATCACATCACACCAGGGATAGTTTGTTAAACGTGTATTAACTATAGGGGTGTATAGTGATATTTTAAATATCAGAAAGGATGTGAATGAAATATGACTTACATCACTAAAACGCCAGTGTAATTTACCCATTTTCCATTAATAAATGAAAATTTCACTTCCCGACGTCATTCAAATAAATAATCTCCAAAGACATTATTGCAAAGTCAGATTGGACCCATCATTTATAAATGATCGGGTGAGGATAGGTTCATTGTATTGATAGTAAAATAAATAATATAAAACATGATATCCTTCAATAAATTTATTCGACAAACTCAAATAAATTTATTCAAAAGTCACTCACATTCATCTCAAAATCATTCACAGTGTATCATACATTTAAACACGAATTACCCCTCACAGTGTACAAATGAGGGCACTTAATCAAATATGCATATGAGAAAACCGATTGAATGGAATAGTTTTCTAACTTTAGTTCTTTCTCTCAATTCTAAATGATCACCAAATCAACATGTTATACTATACTTTAACCATCATCCATTTTCAAATCGAAGTGCACACGATCCATTTGCAAATCACTTGGAATAAATATTGAAGAAAAATATAAGCAATAAAATGATGATTTCAAAGCCGATTGTATGTATTTTCAAGGCAAAATAATACGTAAAATGAGAATTATTCACCCTAGATCTGGAGGACTGTCTATGGGCTGGACCAGACTAGGCTCATGAATTTTTTTCAAATTGGGTCTAGGAAGGGTAGGCTAAACCCTTACCTGGATGAATCATTGGGCAAGCCAAGCTAGGCATCATATAAGGGTAGGTTATCCACAACTAGGGTTATTAATTGAACTAAACTACTCAAGTTTGGTTTGGGTTCAGCTCGTTTTTTGCTCATTCAGGCTTGATTCGTTTCTAAACGAGCCCAAACTTAAATAATTTTTTAAGTTCGATTAAAAAAACAACCTTTTTAGGCTCGGCTCGAACCCAACTCGAGTTCCTTCGATTAACAACCCTATCCGCACCCCAATCCGTTACTCACTAGATGGACCTTGTAAGTAGTCTTTTTTTATTTATACATTTTTATTTAAAAAAATTCAACTTAGTATTTTTATAAATTATATTTTTGAATTAAAAATAGAGTCAAAATGAATAAAAAATAAATAATGAATAATTTTATTTGAGATGAACTATTTAATATTTAAAATAATGAATATTATCCTAGATTACTCAACTTAGTATTTAAGTAAATAACTCTTTTTTTTCAAAGGAATATGTCACCTAATTTTCAATGATCAGTTTTTTTTTCAAATAAAGTGGGTGGGTGGGTTTTTGGGCCAGATTTTAACTGGTTTTTGCGGGTGAGCTAATGGGCCGAGTAATGGGCTTGAGGTAAGTCTGAGCCCTCTCTTAAAAGATATTAGACTCGATTTCGGACAGACCAAATATGGGGTCTATTTTTTTGGGTCGGATAACGGGCCACATGGACCAACTCGACCCCTGGACACCCCTATCTGGACAAAGACAAGTTCACCAATTACAGTGTTCGTAATTTAAAAACCCTAGTCAACGATGTTCTGGCGTTATCAGATATAAGCTGGACAAACCATGGGGGGATAAAATGCTGAAAGGATATTTCATAGGGCTAAAATGGAATTTGCCCAATCTATTGAAAAGGCTCCATGTATGCCATGAACATTATTTTTAGTAGAAAGGACGATGTATTATTGGATATCAGCTGTGACTTGAGACTGAAGGAGAAGGTTTTCTATCTTTCTTTTTTCCCTTTAGCAAATGAACTAATTACATTAAACAAAACATTAATGCTTTACAATTTGCTGTGATCAACTTGATGGAGATAGTTAAAATCTCAATTAGTACCTGCATATAGACTGTGACCATCTTAAAACATGCTTCTTAGTCTAGTGGGAAAGGTGAGGCTACTAAGAAACGAGTATCACATGGCCCAAATCCTATCAACATTGTTTGACAATCGAAAAAACATCGTTTTTTGCGACTTAATAGACCAAGCAATCGGCTTTATGAGTGGAAGTGGGATCGAAGATATGATAACCTTAAAGGTGTGAAGTCATGTTTTCAGAGAAAATATATGGCAAGAAAAGAAATTTTTTTTAAAAATCATGATTTATTGCATCATAATTACAGCTGCAAACAAGTCCCACCATCCTCTTATGCATTTAACAGATCTACAAAACACACACAACAGAAGACTCTTCATTCATTGATCAGTACTTTTCCACTTTACTACACAAACTCTTGATTTTCAAAATAAAGAAAAAACACCCATCTTTTCTAAACAGAAAATAAAGCAACTTTTACTGTTTTACCTTCTCCTTCCGAACTTATACAAACACACCCATTAACAGAAACTTCTTTATCCATGAATGTTCTTCATCTGCAAACAAAAATCCATTTGGAAACAAAATAATCAAAGTAAAGTAGAATACATAAAAATTACTAGTTATGCACGCATAGCAAAATGTAGATGAAACTAAAACAGAAATTAAACAAAGTTCCTTGTGTTATTTAGGATCTTTACCTTTCCTCCTGCATTTTCACCTCTCAGACCTTTGGATTTGCGATGCGCCACGACACTTTTCCGATGATTATTATGCTGTCCACCAGATTCATATGGTGGAGGAATGAAAGAGTGAGTCTCTGGACCTCTATAATCAATGTCATAGATCCCTGAATCCATATTTGGCACATCCAATCTCCCTATGAAAAAAAAAACACCNCATCTGCAAACAAAAATCCATTTGGAAACAAAATAATCAAAGTAAAGTAGAATACATAAAAATTACTAGTTATGCACGCATAGCAAAATGTAGATGAAACTAAAACAGAAATTAAACAAAGTTCCTTGTGTTATTTAGGATCTTTACCTTTCCTCCTGCATTTTCACCTCTCAGACCTTTGGATTTGCGATGCGCCACGACACTTTTCCGATGATTATTATGCTGTCCACCAGATTCATATGGTGGAGGAATGAAAGAGTGAGTCTCTGGACCTCTATAATCAATGTCATAGATCCCTGAATCCATATTTGGCACATCCAATCTCCCTATGAAAAAAAAAACACCAAATTGCTTGACCATGTGAAAATATGGAGTCAAAAAATCCTTACAAAAACTGGAGAGAGAGAGAGAGAGAGAGTAAATAGTTTGGAAGGGTGCAAACCTCTTGAGAGACAAGGCAGGGCAAGGAGGAAGATTAAAAAAAAGGTGGTAACGCAAGACTTGAGCTCCATAGCTCTTCCAAAACTGGTTTGATCAAAAGCTATTTTCTTCTGGTGGTATATGGAGGAGAGAAGGCATATAATCTCGTGGGAAGGTCACAAAATAAGCATGGAGAAACCGTTAAAGGACTGAGAAACTTTTAGCAGTCGAAAACCGTCGCCATCGATACAGCAATTAGATACATAGCCTTGATGTGGGTGAGTTGAGTTGGAACATTAATGTAGTTAAGCCATACATTAAAGTTTTGGGGTGATTTGGCTTTTTTTTTTCTCTTGGTCTGGACAGTCCCATGTGTGTATTATTGAAAGTGTCCTATAGAGGGACAATCCCATTTAGTATCCTTAGGCTGGACCTCACACCATCACTCACATACCCACTCTCCCCCCTCCCCCCCCCCCCCNTTATTGGGAGAAAATTCAGTGTACTTCAAGAGGGGGGCTGGATAAGTAAACCTTTCGAATTGAGCAATGCTAGACTTAAAATATAGACATATCAGTCATTGCCATTGATTTCATTGGGGGTATCAACATTTATTAAGATCTACTACATATTCATTGATTGTGATCGATCAAGTCTACATTTTAAGTCAAAATAGAATTTCTCTTTCGGATTCTTGCATAATTTTTGAGAAATTGAATGTTGGTGATCAATCGATGTTACAGATTTGAAATCCATGTCTCATAAACGTGCGACTAGTAGACTAAAATTTCCTTGTCAATGATCAAAATATCATTTTGGCGCATTGTTTCGTTAACCTAAGAAATAAAATTGTTTCGAAAATATTTCGAAAAAATAATAAAAACAGATAAAAAAAATTTAAGAATTTATTTTCAAAATATTTCAAAGCATGAGTCTAAACATATCAAACGTCTTGAAACATTAGAAAAAAGCATGCTGAAACATCTAGCAATAACTGAAAACATTTTGAAATATCTCGAAACACCTCAAAAGATTGAAATTTTGATTCAATCATTGTTCGTTTCAGTTCACTTGAAAACGGAAACTTTTTGACTGTTTCGATCATTTCGAAACGATATTTTAATCATTGTGTAAGATTAATTTAATTGTGTGAAAACCATCACACAAACAGGAACGTTCATATTGAATCATCAAGAATTAAAATATTGGATTTGCGAAAGCGTATCTGAATCCATAACAAAATATTATAATATTCGAGTCTGAGGCGTTATGATCTTCCAGATCTACACTTGTTGTCTGAGGCTGTATGATCTTTCAGATCTACACTTGTTTTCTGTCTAAATTTCTCTTTGACAATGGGAATCAGAAGAATAGAAAAATCATTGTGTGATCTGGGGATCATGACCCCTATTTATAAACAATCGTGTCCGTTGATAAGCAGTCACGTCTATTCATAATTTCTATTTTAACTCATCATAAAAATAAAAATTACGTTTGTCTTTACACATTAATGCCCACACTTTATAATATCTTAATTAAGGCCCCAAAACTTAAATTAATCACTTTAATTAGTCTAACTTTATTTGATAGCCTATAATTCACATTTATTTAATATATAAGCCCATAGATTTAATTTTACTCCAACACATTGCTCCCAGTTACAACTTCTTCAGTTGATGCGGTTATATCTTTCATTTATTGCTTAAAGGACGATCTTCGTGGTTGGTAATAATGGTGAAGAATGTACATTGCCATGGACCATGCTTCAAGAGGTTCAAATTGAAAACTAGGTCATTTTCGTTGGGGGGGCATTCTGTCAGGGCCTAATATGTAAAGGCATTAGTTGGATGGACGTATAGGTTCAAAAGAGAGGTCCCTTTCGTTGATTTCAAATGATACGAACAAGATATAGATGTAGAACAAAGGAGATCTATCTGTGTTAGTCTGCAAATTTCATCCACTCAGTGAATATTGTGAAATCTGATGAATCAATTCGACAAAATCTTAATCCCAACTATTTGAGGTCGGTTGTATAAGTCTAGTGTCTTGTTGTCCACGTGTTAACCAATCAAAAATTTNTGATACGAACAAGATATAGATGTAGAACAAAGGAGATCTATCTGTGTTAGTCTGCAAATTTCATCCACTCAGTGAATATTGTGAAATCTGATGAATCAACTCGACAAAATCTTAATCCCAATTATTTGAGGTCGGTTGTATAAGTCTAGTGTCTTGTTGTCCACGTGTTAACCAATCAAAAATTCTTGGATGTAAGAAATACGGTTTTTAGATTTTGTGTGATACGGTTGTAAGAAGTAAGCGGGTGGTACAAAAAACCAGCACTTATTGTCTATTTGAAAAAACAGCCACCGATGAAGAAAGAAAATTCTTAGTTCATTTCTCTACCTTAATGACATAAAAATAATTAATTAAATTCTATTGAGCCTGACCCGTAGTAATCATTTTATCAAATGATTGAATAATCGGTGATAATTTACTTCTGACACTAATTGACATTCATAAAAAGTATTTAATAAATTATGAGTCCAATACATCCTGTTTAGCATAAAGGTGGGATATTCTTTGCTCATTATTTGTTTGGTACAAAAAATAAATGTGTAGATAAGTCACTCTATATCCGTCAGAGAATATTACTCCTCAACGTCACATAGTTATTTGTTGGAGACTCAATCGCACCTACATTGGGGCGGAAACTAAAGTATCACCGTGTACTCTGGATGCTAAATAATGGGTTTAACCCTATCCAGCTACCGTAGCCATAAAAACTCAAATCNAAGGTGGGATATTCTTTGCTCATTATTTGTTTGGTACAAAAAATAAATGTGTAGATAGGTCACTCTATATCCGTCAGAGAATATTACTCCTCAACGCCACATAGTTATTTGCTGGAGACTCAATCGCACCTACATTGGGGCGGAAACTAAAGTATCACCGTGTACTCTGGGTATTAAATAATGGGTTTAACCCTATCGAGCTACCGTAGCCATGAAAACTCGAATTCAAGCATTGAGTAAAAAAATTCAAGTTTATATCCACTGAACCACTCTTTTAGCGGTTGAATTATGATCCTTTCATAATAGCCTAACAAGAAACATAATCAAGGCAGTGACTACCACGAAGGGCTGAGTCAGGAATTTGTCCAAGGGGGGTAAAATGTAACTAAAAAAAATTCACCAAGAAATACAAAAATAATAATAATAATAATAAGTTCCATTAAAATTCAAGACTAGATTAATATATGAAACAACCAAATTAGTTTTCATTTAGTCTAAACAAAATCTAAATAAAAAATATGACTAAATATACAATTTTTAAAAAAATTAGAGGTGACAAAAGTAATAAATTGAACAAAATTATAATAAAAAATATGACACAAATGAAGAAGATCCAAAATTGAGGATCCTAATGTGGTTTCACCCCTGACCACCACAGGGTGTTACAACAACAGATGAAGTTGCCTCTAAAACTAGAATGTATATGGGAAATATTATAGTATCTCAGGGTCATATCAGACAGAAAGACTACATCAAAATGAATGAAATTTGAAGACTGGAGTAAAATTCTATGATTAAATCTATCTTATGTTATTTTCTCCAAGAAGAAGAAACAAGAGATAAAAAAAAAAAACTCTCAAAGTTAAAGATTGTCACATCTCTTGCCTTTCAATTGTCCCCGTTGGATATTATGTGTAGACCACTTGCTCAGACATGTTTTTCTTTAATGGTTGTCTTGTTAGGTCCACCATCAACAGCTAGTTGGCCAGGCATGGGGCTTCCTTACCTATATGCTCATCTTTGAATCTCTCTCACTAAGGATGCTACTTCCAACTTCTAACCTAAGATATTTTGATTTCTGACTTCAAGACAGACGAAGAGTTTGAGGATTGTGTCACGGGGTTAGAATCTTATTATCATCGTTTAAAAAAAAATTTAGAGGTAGTCCAATAGTTAAGTCTATACCCTCTTACAAGTAAGAGGTATCAGATTCGATACTTTTCACATCCCTTAAAAGTCAGTCACATTTGTTCTTCAAGAAATATGTTCTTAAATTAGCTTGAGTTACAATTATCGATTCAAAGTTCGAGGGAGTAGTCAGGACAAATCTCAACACCCTACGAAAAAGTTTAATCCAGGAAAGAATGTACATAAACTTTCTTTACTTTATATCTTCCACCCAATAATAAAATATGCAAGTTGTGGCTGTCAATTGCTGTCTAATTTGCCTTAGTTTAACATTACCATTTACCATCTAAATTAGGTATTATTCATCTGCAATGCGTCATTGGTTCGAGTTCGAAAATCACCCTCTACAACTTAAGTGTGTTGTTTATCTCTAACCTCACCTAGAACCCAAAGAAATAGAATTACTAAAGACCGAGTATGCCAATTTATAATATAAAATAGAGTAGGTTTCAATAAATTCATCTGACAGTCTCAAATAGACCCATTCAACGGTCTCAATATTCCTTTCAAAATCATTTACATTACACTTTAACTTCAGACACGAATTTCCTTTAGTTATATAAATAACATGTTAACAAACATTGCACAAGTTTGGGTCGGCAAAAGGCCAATGACCCGTATGTTGACCCATTAGACCGGGCCCATCGGCAGGACAGGAGCAGCGTAGCCCGTCACATAATGATCCGTGAACAACATTGATATGCCAAGGAATAGGGTTTGGGCTGTGACATATGGCCTTCTGGTCTTGATTGGCTAGCCCAATTATGACCGGTTAAGGCGGCCTTGTTTATGATCCCAAAAATATTCAAAAATTTTAAAGAGTAATACTATTAGAACACAATTTAAGGATATAATTTGAAGATTTAATGATTATGATTATTAGATTGTCAATGGGTCCCAATATTAAATTATTACTGGATCTCAACACTATCAATCTAATGATTATAATTCATTAAGTCCTTAAATTATGTATTTAAATTATATCTAAATAGCATTAGTGAATTTTAAATATATGTCAAACTTTAAAAAAAAAAAAAAAACAAAAGGTACCATATNTAAAAAAAAAACTCTCAAAGTTAAAGATTGTCACATCTCTTGCCTTTCAATTGTCCCCGTTGGATATTATGTGTAGACCACTTGCTCAGACATGTTTTTCTTTAATGGTTGTCTTGTTAGGTCCACCATCAACAGCTAGTTGGCCAGGCATGGGGCTTCCTTACCTATATGCTCATCTTTGAATCTCTCTCACTAAGGATGCTACTTCCAACTTCTAACCTAAGATATTTTGATTTCTGACTTCAAGACAGCCGAAGAGTTTGAGGATTGTGTCACGGGGTTAGAATCTTATTATCATCGTTTAAAAAAAAAATTAGAGATAGTCCAATAGTTAAGTCTATACCCTCTTACAAGTAAGAGGAATCAGATTCGATACTTTTCACATCCCTTAAAAGTCAGTCACCCTTGTTCTTCAAGAAATATGTTCTTAAATTAGCTTGAGTTACAATTATCGATTCAAAGTTCGAGGGAGTAGTCAGGACAAATCTCAACACCCTACGAAAAAGTTTAATCCAGGAAAGAATGTACATAAACTCTCTTTACTTTATATCTTCCACCCAATAATAAAATATGCAAGTTGTGGCTGTCAATTGCTGTCTAATTTGCCTTAGTTTAACATTACCATTTACCATCTAAATTAGGTATTATTCATCTGCAATGCGTCATTGGTTCGAGTTCGAAAATCACCCTCTACAACTTAAGTGTGTTGTTTATCTCTAACCTCACCTAGAACCCAAAGAAATAGAATTACTAAAGACCGAGTATGCCAATTTATAATATAAAATAGAGTAGGTTTCAATAAATTCATCTGACAGTTTTAAATAGACCCATTCAACGGTCCCAATATTCCTTTTAAAATCATTTACATTACACTTTAACTTCAGACACGAATTTCCTTTAGTTATATAAATAACATGTTAACAAACGTTATAGCATCTAAAGCATTGCACAAGTTTGGGTCGGCAAAAGGCCAATGACCCGTATGTTGACCCATTAGACCGGGCCCATCAGCAGGACAGGAGCAGCGTAGCCCGTCACATAATGATCCGTGAACAACATTGATATGCCAAGGAATAGGGTTTGGGCTGTGACATATGGCCTTCTGGTCTTGATTGGTTAGCCCAATTATGACCGGTTAAGGCGGCCTTTTGGGTACGCCCGTGGCCTTGTTTATGAACCCAAAAATATTCAAAAATTTTAAAGAGTAATCCTATTAGAACACAATTTAAGGATATAATTTGAAGATTTAATGATTATGGTTATTAGATTGTCAATGGGTCCTAATATTAAATTAGTACTGGATCTCAACACTATCAATCTAATGATTATAATTCATTAAGTCCTTATATTATGTATTTAAATTATATCTAAATAGCATTAGTGAATTTTAAATATATGTCAAACTTTAAAAAAAAAAAAAAAACAAAAGGTACCATATGAACTAATCTTTATTTTTTTTTATTTTTTGATCCAATATGAACTACTATCAAAAGCTAAAAGTCAAAATTCCAAGGGTAATTTTTTTTTTTTTTGTAAACACAAGGTAATTAAGGTAAGGAAAAATTTCAATCAAACTACTTCAAGTTTATCATATCTTTAAGGACACTCTTTCTATTTTTTGAATCTTTACTAATATCTCTTGTCAGATTAAAGGTGTTAATTGTATTATGCAATTTTATTAAATTACCTATAATATATTTTAACAAAAATTACATTCACATCCCTTCTAGATAAACATATTTTCAATGAGACCCCTCTATTTTTTAAATTTTTAATTTATTAAATTTTGGGTCTATTAAAACTCAATTCAAACTAATTCAATTTTTTTTTATGTATTAAAATTTAAATCAATTAAAATATTATATTTTTTACTTATTAAAATTTTAGTCAATTAAAATTCTATTCAAGTCTCAAATCAAATTTTAATCAACTCGCATTAAATTTTAATCGGTCCGAATTTTTATACATAAAAAAATATAAATTTTAATCAACTCAAATTTCAATACATAAAAAATAAATTTTAATCAACTTGAATCGAATTTTAATAAATAAAAAATATAAATTTTAATAGACTCGAAAAGAATTTTAATCGGGATAACAATTCAAGTAGAATTCAAATCTTCTCAAATTTCAATACGTAAAAAAGGGATTTTTAATAGGTTTGAATTTTAATACGTAAAAAAATAAAATTTAATCAATTCGAATCAAATTTTAATCGACCCATATTAATAAAAAAAATTAATCAACTTGAATTTTAATATGTAAAAAAATAAATTTTAATTGGCTCGAATTTTATATAGAAAGATTGTTTAAGGTTTATATACAAATAATTTTGATATTTTAAATAATTTGTTTTTGTTGTTATAAATTATAGTTTAATGACAGGAAGTGTCAAAGATATTTAAACATAAACAGGAAAAGGGTGTCATTGATGTTTTTTTATAATAGAAGAAATAATAAACTAGAAAGAGTGTGGTTGAAATCTTTTTGGAAAATGTGGAGGTCAATTCTTTATATGGACTTATTTTGAGATAAATTCATTAAAAAAAATTATTTGATTTTAAATCCATTTTTAGTCATTTTTACTATTTAACTGTCGATTGTGTGTTCCGACTCGTCATTTTGTAAATTTTTAATATTTAAAAAATAACAATAGTAACATATTCAACAAAGACAGTAACATAGTCATTAAAAAAATAGTAATATGGTAAAAAAGTAATAAAAATTAGAAATTTAATTCTGTCAAAGTGGGTNTATTCATCTGCAATGCGTCATTGGTTCGAGTTCGAAAATCACCCTCTACAACTTAAGTGTGTTGTTTATCTCTAACCTCACCTAGAACCCAAAGAAATAGAATTACTAAAGACCGAGTATGCCAATTTATAATATAAAATAGAGTAGGTTTCAATAAATTCATCTGACAGTTTTAAATAGACCCATTCAACGGTCCCAATATTCCTTTCAAAATCATTTACATTACACTTTAACTTCAGACACGAATTTCCTTTAGTTATATAAATAACATGTTAACAAACATTGCACAAGTTTGGGTCGGCAAAAGGCCAATGACCCGTATGTTGACCCATTAGACCGGGCCCATCAGCAGGACAGGAGCAGCGTAGCCCGTCACATAATGATCCGTGAACAACATTGATATGCCAAGGAATAGGGTTTGGGCTGTGACATATGGCCTTCTGGTCTTGATTGGTTAGCCCAATTATGACCGGTTAAGGCGGCCTTTTGGGTACGCCCGTGGCCTTGTTTATGAACCCAAAAATATTCAAAAATTTTAAAGAGTAATCCTATTAGAACACAATTTAAGGATATAATTTGAAGATTTAATGATTATGGTTATTAGATTGTCAATGGGTCCTAATATTAAATTAGTACTGGATCTCAACACTATCAATCTAATGATTATAATTCATTAAGTCCTTATATTATGTATTTAAATTATATCTAAATAGCATTAGTGAATTTTAAATATATGTCAAACTTTAAAAAAAAAAAAAAAACAAAAGGTACCATATGAACTAATCTTTATTTTTTTTTATTTTTTGATCCAATATGAACTACTATCAAAAGCTAAAAGTNAAAACTAGAAAGAGTGTGGTTGAAATCTTTTTGGAAAATGTGGAGGTCAATTCTTTATATGGACTTATTTTGAGATAAATTCATTAAAAAAAATTATTTGATTTTAAATCCATTTTTAGTCATTTTTACTATTTAACTGTCGATTGTGTGTTCCGACTCGTCATTTTGTAAATTTTTAATATTTAAAAAATAACAATAGTAACATATTCAACAAAGACAGTAACATAGTCATTAAAAAAATAGTAATATGGTAAAAAAGTAATAAAAATTAGAAATTTAATTCTGTCAAAGTGGGTATTAACCTTATAACCAAGATTCAAGAGAACTTATACATTAGTACTAAATTAAAGTGTTATGGATTTCGATTGATTTTTTTGTTGCGCAAGACAATCGAGTATTCATTGGTTGTGTTACCGTGGAAAAATTCATGTTACTGTACGTGAACCGAAAAATAGAGTTCAGAATTTCGATGACTTAATGTTCACAATTGGTGTTGAGTATCGTAATTCAACTGTCGATTATGTGTTACTATTCGTCATTTTATAAATTTTCAATTTGTGAATCGTATTTTCACTAAAATCATTCAAAAGTTGATGTTACCGTAAAAAAATTATGGTATTTTATTTTGTAAAATTAGATGTATTATTGAGCACAAAATTTTGATGCTATTGTGAATATTAAAGCTGTTCGAGTCCTCTGTTTACTTCAATTTCACCATCCCCTGTTTCTGATTTTGACAATGGTGAACCCCAAAACTTACTTGCAAGTGATGAAGATCTATATGGAGCAGATCTACACCTAGTCAATAAAAAAGCATTCTTGGGCGGCTCAGAAGAATCCAAAACCTCACTATATTCTTCAACTTGAGCAGCTTCTTCTTCATCAACATCCTCATCTCCATTGCCGGCGTCAGAAGCAGAGTCACTTGCTTTACATTGACCTCCTCCTACTACAACATCGACCTTTTTGCAATACCCAAATCGAAAAAACAAGACCCATTTGCGCCAAACGGGACGAAACGAATTGGGTTTGTGAAATTTAGCAAAATGGTAAGGGAAAACAGTTTTTCGAAGCCACCAACATAGTCGTCGTTTGGCCGGAGTTCTGGACCGTGATGTTCGGTTACCGGAGTTCTTGGAGGACCTTCTGACTCGGACATGGCCTATGCAAGTGACTTTCGGTGAAGATGGTTCTTGGGTGGTTTCAATCACTACATTCTTTTTGGGCACCAACATTGGGCTTGAACGTGACCGTCCTCTGCTTTTACTATCCACATTGCTTGTCAGAAACCTCATCAACAATGGCGGATGAAACTTCTCTGTCTTGCTTGGACACAATATAGGTTTTGAAGAAACCTTCATTTTCTTCCTCGTCCTTTTGACTATGTTTCTGTTTTTTGGGTTAGTTTCTTGATTGAGAGACTGAGAAAAGAAATTGCAGAATCCAGCCTCTCTCTCTACTCAACACACTCCTGTCTTGTTTCCCTACCTACATATTTGCTGTCGCTCTCTGTCTGTCTACTCCGTCTTGTTTCCCTATCTAAGGATTTGTCTCTTATCTTTCTAGGGTAGTCTTTGGGTTTCTCTTCTTAGTGCCCTGGTGGGTGAGGGAGAGAAGATTTGGGAAGTTTTTTTTTATGTCCTTCTCTCTAACAGTATCTCTAACCACAAAAATTATTTTTTATTTATTTTGTATTATTTTTTTTTTTAGAATAATAAAATGGAGAATTTGAAAACGAAGGAAATGAGAGGAAGAAAGAGAAAATATTATATTTTTTAGTGATGTAAAAAATATATAGAGTATCACTGTAATAAAATATTATTTTAGATGTTTTGAAGATAATTTGTTATAATGAAAATTTTGAGCTAAATAACTAAAATTTGAAAATTTTGTATTTTTTAGATCATCTCTTGGAAATGCTCTTATGTTATAACACATTTATGTTATAACACATTTTCATTTACTTTTTGAAGTTGTCTACCGTACCAAAAAAAAACAAATGTTTTTTGGTTTTGTATCAATTTTTATTATATTTATAAATGTTTTTATCATGATTATAAAATAGATAAAAAAAACAAATATAATAAACTAGAAGAAATTCCCTTTTATGTTTTTACATTGTTTTCTTTATTTTTGTGCGGATGTCGGGCTTTTCTATTTCGAAGTTGTAGGGTTCTGTTTTTATCCCAATTGTTTGAAGGCAAACTACCAAACAACCCATCATGGCTCCAACCCATCAAGGCAAACTACAGATTTGATGTGTAAACTATTTTCCCAAAAATACCCTTGGAGATTTCAGACAATCTTCTGGTACGACAGTTGTAATCCTTTAATTGAGTAGACAGACCAGTGAATACACATATCTCCCAATAAGAAAACAAAAAAAGGTCAACTAAGGTTTCAGACGTCCTTTCTGGCACACCAAAAAAAAGAGATAGACCAAGGAGAGTGGGTCAGTGAGGAATCAGTCCAACGAAGAAGAGTTAAAAACTATAGACACTTCTATAGCAACCAAAAAGCCAAAAAAGAAGACGTTAGTGTAGAATAGCCATACATGGAGTAAGCAAGAAAACAGACTAACCCTATGGTACCCTTCAAATTTGGTGGGTGTGCGTGTTTTTGTTGTTTT